ATTTGTCGCGCTGCTGATGACGTCACGTACGCGCTTTGATCGGGCGCGCTTTAGTGGACCGCGGTTTTGACAGGTCACGACTTTAAGAGGTGTGGATTTCAATTCCCAGAATTCACCAACCAGCATAATGGATGGGGAATTTGGGGAGTTGAAGTCCACACATCTTAAGGTTTTCAAGAGTGAGAAACAGTGCCTTGGATTAAGTGCACAAAGTCTTAACTGAGAAGTATATACATGCATGTTTATATGTATATTAATGTGTATATGCCCGCCAGGGGTAGGTTGCTGCCGGTTTTACCTGCATGCACAGAACAATTTACAGTGAACTGTGCACGCGCAGTCACTAAAATCCAAAATGGCGGAGGCCCACAATGGAGAAGGAACCAGTTCGGGGGCATGTCAGGGCTGGATTGCTCCCAGTTCTGTGACCCAGACCTGACTTCCACTACTGGTTCGGTCGAATCGGGCTGAACCGGCAGTAACCCACCTCTGATTGCACACACATAAATCAAGCAATGAGACTAATTTCATAACTTCCCACCAATGGCCTTCTTAACCTGGCAGCAATGATCACAGTAACAGGGAGAAGCCACCTAATTCAACAGAACCTTTTACAAAGGAAACAAGAGTCTACCCTGTTTAATGCAAGTGTGAATGTGAATAGAATCTACGTCACTGTTTTTCAACCTCGGCAGCTTGAGGATATGTGGACTTTAACTCCCAGAATTCCTCAGCCAGCAAAGCAAACCTGGCTGGGGGAATTCTGGGAGTTGAAGTCCACGCATCGTCAGGTTGCCACGGTTGAGAAACATTGATGTGTGAACCTAAAGCAAAAAAAAAAAAAGCTGCCTTTTTAAGAAACCGAGCTCTTAACAGTCTTCAAGCTAAAGTCAACCCACATAGTCAATTCCATCAATCATCAGGAAATTGTAGATTTTGATTCTTTCCACCTCACTGGGTAAGCCTTTGCAAACCTTATGTCCTCCGTCTTGTCTAAGAAGATGGCCATGTGCTGCTCCCTGTTAGCCTGCGGTAAGAGCCCTTGCTTCAAAAAGTAGAGAATTAAAGGAGAAAATGAATCAGCTAGTATTATTTTTCCAGGAGAAATTCCACGTCTCCTTCCCCAAAATCTTTCTTATGTAGGATTTTGTTCCAGCATCTTCTGAGTCCTTTCGTGTGGCCGTAGTAGGCAGGGATTCTCTTTATTGCAAAATATTAATAGTCTCAATTTTTCTATCCAGCGATGCTTATTAAGTTGTTCGCGTCAGTTTTTGTTGTTACCATGTGCTGGGTTTTTTTTCCCCACTCGGGCATGAAGTTGAGGGGTTTTCTTCACTGTCAGTTTGTTTTGGAAAGGAGGAAAGGCAACTGCTACCTTGAAGAAACAAATAGTCACCGGATAATTTGTTCATGTACAAACAGATATGTTGTCCGATGATGTAGGGATGTCATCCTGGGGGAAAAAAATTCCTCCAGTGTGAATGAACATCTGGTTATAAAATATGAAATGCTTGAGTCCAGTTTAGCTTCTGGTGACTTCAGAGATAAGTCCACCTAGGAACGTATGGGCAAAGAAATGAAAATTATTTTCCCTTGCCTTCCTCCATGGTACTTTCCCCCCCCAATTTCCTAGTCCAGGGCCCTGATACTCCCTGGAGGTAACTCATCCAAGTACCCCAGATCATCTGGAGGGCAGCAAATAATGTCAGAATGGCCGTGCAACAGGGCAGTTGAAGATCTGCCTTTTGTAAATGTCATACGATGTATTCAATGCATGCTAATAAGGGTAGACTTTATCAAACTTGCATCATCACAGCGTCATCACGTGATGTATCGGGACTTTTTTCCCTTTTCGCTAAACCGGGTGAGGGCGTGGCCAGCTTGTGACACATCCAGCCTATGGGCCGTGGGTTTGACAGCCCTGAGCTTGACGCAGTCAACAAGGGTCTCCTAGCAATTATTAAACATCTTAAGGTTGTTGTTGTTGTTTTTAAAAAAACTGTGTTTTGAACCAAGATCCAAACTTTTTTCAATCACTGGAATTGATAAGTAGAAAACAACCATCCCAACTGAAAGACAGATTCATACAGATTTGCTGCTTCATCTATACCTGGGGAAAAAGAGTCCCAGCTGCTGTTCTGGGACTAGCAAATGTACTGCTTAAATCAAACCTGACTACATGTCTCCATGGAATGCAAAAGTGCTTGTTCTCAGGAAATACCCCATAAGTACAAGGAAAGAGTTATTTGGGAATCTGTATCCTGGCTGCACGAAGCGGGAAAAGATGTATGATTATTGTTTAGCTGTACTGCACTCTGGAAAAGATTTATGTCCTGATTAAGGAAATCAAAGACAGATTAACGTTTGCTGCAAGGAAATAAGCTCCATACTTCCAAGAGATATAAAATAACTTCATTTTTGCTTTTAGCTTTTTATCAAGGAGTCTTGATAGTTATTTATAAAGAACAAGGCATTTTTGATACCAATGAATTACGTAGCATTCTTTCCTAATTGACTCAAAGAAGTATTGTGCAGAGGAATGAAAAAGCATTGACTCTCAGAAAGTTTGCCAGTTATATCCCTTGGTTTTTAGAACTTTATGAGTACCTCCTAGGACGGACCACAATTAGGATATTTAATTTTTCTGGGCATTAAGGCAAGTAGCAAATACTGTATCACAACAGCAGCATTTAGGAATTAGATGTTTAAACACACCAAGATATAATCTGGATTTTTTTTTAAAAAAAAATAATGCAATCGAAAAGAAGTCAGTCATTCTGTCTAACGAAGTATACTGCAGAAGAATCCCACAGTGGCTCGTTCTGTGTAAGCTGCTGTGAATAATTTGATTGTGATGGGATAGAAATGATTGATAAATAAATGTAATAACCATAGCACTATTTCCAGCCTGAGCATTATTGCTGGGTAAAAATAGTGTGTGAAAGAAAGATCATAAAGGCATAAAGTTAACGCTTCCTCATGTTGCTTGGATAGATACAGGAATTAAGCCATTGAGGTTTTCCTCCCAGAGAAGAGAGACTTAGTTTATGGCAATATGTATAGCAAAATAACTATGTAAAAACCTAACAAATTCAAGGGCAGGGGTGTCAAACTCGCAGTATCATGTTGTCGTCATTTGATATATCGCGACTTTTCCCCCCTTTGCTAAAACGGGGGTGGGCCTGGCCAGCGTGTGACGCATCCGGTCCATGGCCACAAGTTTGAAACCCTTGCTCGAGGGTGCCCACTAGGGGTGGGTTCTGGCAGCTTTGCTCTTAGGCATGCTGTACGCACATGCACAGAACAATAAAAATTGTTCTGTGCATGTGCAGAAGCGAAAAACAAGATGGCGGCACCTACGGCGGCGTCCAGAGAACCAGTTCTGGGGTGTGGCAGGCCTGGGTCGCTGCCAGTTCCAGCAACCCAGGTCGCCAACCACTATCGGTCTGAACCGGTAGGAACCCACCACTGGTGTCCACCAAGTATGACCCATAATTCAACTTGAACTTTAAATAAAGGAATTATTGTTTAACAATATATCAACAAAGATTTCTCCAATACAGGCTTCCTCTGTCTGCTGCCCACCAGCTCTATTAGATGCCCTTTGTGATAATCCCGAACAGCAGAGCAGAGGAAGGAATGAAGATTGAATTTTGCTATCAAATCAGTAAAGAGAGACAAGAATGTGGCTCTTTTAATCTATATCTGAATCGACTTATTGTTCTGCTGGGATTTCTTTTCCGAGTCTACCTTATCCTTTTTCATGAATATCTGAGGTGTGGTTTGGGTTTTTAAATTCTGCATCTCTGAAACGTGTGCCTTAAATGTGACCTAACTTTTTTTTTCTTTCAAGAAAAGAATGAATCCTGATTAGTTTATAAATACAGGTTCCTCCATGAAAGTTTTTAGGTCGTCTGTGTTTGTTCAGTTTGTCCTTTTGAAACAAAGAATTCTGTTCGGTTTATAAATACAGATTTCTCAATGAAAA